GCTCTTCGACTTCCCAGAACTCCCATTCCTGGGCCACATTTTCAGCAGGGGCAAGAGCACGACGAGGAGGAGGACGAGCAAGACCAGGAGGACGAGGACGAGCAGGAGCAGGACGAGGAGCAGGAGGAGGAGGACGACCAGGAGGAGGAGGACGAGGAAGAGGAGGAGGAGGAGGAGGAGGGGAGGGGGAGGAGTACCAGGAGGAGGAGGAGGAGGAGGAGGAGGAGGAGGAGGAGGAGGAAGAGGAGGAGGAGGAGGAGGAGGAGGAGGACGAGGAGGAGGAGGGAGGAGGGGGGGGGAGAGTACCAGGAGGAGGAGAACGAGGACCACCAGGAGGAGGAGGAGGAGGAGGAGGAGGAGGAGGAGGAGGAGGAGAGAGCACCAGGAGGAGGAGGACGAGCAAGACGAGGAGGACGAGAACGAGGACGACCAGGAAGAGGAGGAGGAGGAGGAGGAGGAGGAGGGGAGGGGGAGGACTACCAGGAGGAGGAGGAGGAGGAGGAGGAAGAGGAGGAGGAGGAGGACGAGGAGGAGGAGGAGGAGGAGGAGGACGAGGAGGAGGAGGGGGGGGGAGAGCACCAGGAGGAGGAGAACGAGGACCACCAGGAGGAGGAGGAGGAGGAGGAGGAGGAGGAGGAGGAGGAGGAGAGAGCACCAGGAGGAGGAGGACGAGCAAGACGAGGAGGACGAGAACGAGGACGAGCAGGAGGAAGAGGAGGAGGAGGAGGAGGAGGAGGAGCAGGAGAAAGAGGAGGAGGAGGAGGAGGCAGGCTGAGGCTGAGGCTGTGACTGCGACTGCCGTTGCCGCTGCGACTGTCATCGCGAATGCGACTACGACTGCGAAAACAGCAGAATTCGACAACTGGATTTTCATCTGAATCTTAAGGGGAATGCTTTCAGATATGCTTCTACACATCGCTGTTAGGTTGCTTTGCCGGGATAATTTTCATTTGTCTTATTATTATTGAATCGCTTCGCTCATTCCGCCGGCCCATTTCGCATGACTGAGCCTCTTGGGGCCGCTGGGGGGCCTCTTCAGCGTCGCTTGGGGGCCTCCTGAGGGCCTCTTGGGGGCTTTTGGGGCCTCTCAGGGGCCTCTTGAGGCCTCCTGGGGGCTTCTTAAGGCCGAGGGCTCGAAGTTTTGTTTTGTGTTCCCCCTTTGGGGCATCGCTTGGGGCCCTCTTGGGCCCCTCTTGGGCCGTCTTGGATGCCTCTGGGGCCGTCTTGGAGCCCTCTTGGGCCATCTTGGGGCCTTCTTGGGAGCTTCTTGGGCCCTCTTGGGGCGATCTTGGGGGCCTCTTGGGCCGTCTTGGGGCGTCGGGAAGCCGAAAAGATGGACACGCCAAAATCTGCCCAAAACCTAAGGAAAAGTAATGAATTTTGCCTCTTGGGGCCCTCTGGGGAGTGCTCTTGGAGGCCTCTTGGGGCGTCTGGGGGCCATCTTGGGCGTCTTGGAACGATCGTGTGGCATCTCGGAGCACTCTTGAACCATCTTGGAGGGCTCTTGGCGGCCTCGTGGCCCTTCTTGGGGCTCTCTGGAGGGCCACGGGGGCGGCGCCCAGGAGGAAAACCATCTCTGACCCGAGTCTGCCGGGGATCGCCCGGGGTACTTTTCGTCCGGGGACCCCCAGGGGCCGCGCCGCGCGCGCGAAGTAGAAGTATCATTTAGCATTTACCAGAGATCTTAGCACGCCTCTGGCCCGTTGGGCCAGCGAATTCCCTACCTAGGCTCTGCCTAGAAGGATTCTTACTCTCTGGGCTTAAAGGGGCCGGGCAGTGCTAACCGCCCCGGGCGGTTCCCCCGGCCCCCTGGGAGCGGTTCCCCCAGTCCCCTGGGAGCTTCAGCTTTGGCTTTAGCTTTAGCTTAGCTTTAGCTTAGCTTTAGCTTAGCTTTAGCTTAGCTTCAGCTTAGCTTTAGCTTTAGCTTTAGCTTTAGCTTAGCTTTAGCTTAGTTTTAGCTTGGATTCAGCTTAGCCGTAGCTTAGTCTTAGCTTAGCGTTAGCTTAGCTTTAGCTTAGCTTTAGCTTAGCTTTAGTTTAGCCTTAGCTTAGCCTTAGCTTAGCCTTAGCTTAGTTTTAGCTTCGCTTCAGCTTAGCTTTAGCTTAGATTTAGCTTAGCTTTAGCTTAGCCTTAGCTTAGCCTTAGCTTAGCCTTAGCGTTAGCTTAGCTTTAGCTTTAGCTTAGCTTTAGCTTAGCTTTAGCTTAGCTTTAGCTTAGCTTAGCCTTAGCTTTAGCGTTAGCCTTAGCTTTAGCTTAGCTTTAGCTTAGCTGTACTGTTACTACTCATGCTGCTTTCCCAGGGGCTCCAACTCCTAGGTAGGGTCGCACTGGGATAATGATTCGTGTTATTCGTATTATTGCTCTCTTTCCTTCAACACGAGCCCTGCCCCCCCCCCCCCCCCAACTCGCCCGCGCACGCGGCTCGGGCCCTGCTGCCCCCCCGGCCTCTTCTTGGCCCCCCCTCTCTGGCGCACGCCCGAGGGAGGGGGGGCGGGGCCTGGGGCCGCCAGGGGGGTCGGGTCGGACGAGAGGGTCAGGCGATCGCAAGCATGGCTCAAGGGAGGAAGAGGAGGAGGAGGAGGAGGAGGAGAAGGAGGAGGAGTAGTGGTGATGATGAGCACTTCTCCAATTTCGGCATCCAAGGCCTGCTTGGGGCCTCTGGGGCCGTCAAACAAAACAATATGTCAGGCGATCGCAAACTTAGATCAAGGGGGCGTGGATTAGCGACGGGTCCCGCTTCCACGGTGAATCGCGGATTTCCGCCGCCGAGCGAGGCGGCACCGGCCGCATTTTGGGCAGGGCACCTCCCCTGATACATGGATTTGGCGACCGCGCACCAAATCCATGGATCGCTAGTCCATGTTTGCGCGCCCCCGGGAGAGGGGGGTGAGGGACGGTCGGGTGGACGTTCGAAGTTTGATGTTTTCGGGCCGGTGTCGTCGGTTCTCGGCTGCCTTCCAGCCTCGCGGTGCTTCTTCAACAGCTGCGCCTCGCCGAGAGCGTTTTAGGAGTGCCCGAACGGCAGCTGGGGATCCGAGTTATGATTCGGAGAGAAGGCGACGAGGATCACTCGAGTCGGACGATCGGAGGACTGGCGAAAACAGGGTACGAAATCTGCTGCACAACTGATCGCGGCCCCGCCTTCTGGGCGCCTTTCCTTCGATACCTGGCGCCAGGAGACGCCCGGATAGCCTTCGGCAACCCCCCTTGAATTCAAGTGTCGGGGCTGGACAGACCTACCCTGACACGTCGATTAGTGAATTGGCTGTTTTCGGTTCGCGGGAGGGCGCCGCGGCCGTCATTTTTGGCGGGTCCAGGTCCGTCGGCTTCGGTCCCAGGCCGTTTGCACCAAGGGGAGGTCTGCTAAAGGGAGGTCTGTCCAGCGCCGAAAGAAGCACGGCGGAGGCTGTTGCTCATTCGTGCTCGTCTGCCACGGCTCCCTCGTTTTCGGCTCCGTGGGCCTCCTGGGAAGCCCTCGTCGCCACCGCTGGACTCGCCTCGCAAGTCTGCTCAGAACGCACCCCAGCGCCGAAAGTGGCTCCTTGCACCATTCGGCCGGCCCTCAGAAGAGGAGACGAGTCCACGGGCGAAGCTTTTTGGGGGCCTCTTCGGGACTCTCCGGGGGCCTCTTCTGGGCCTCTCGGTGTCAGTTCACGCTGCCTCTCCTGGGCTCCTCTTGGGGATCTGTTGGGACCCTCTCGGGCCTTCCTGGGACCTCCTGTCGGGGGTGCGTAAGACCCGGGTTTGCCAGGACTCGGGTTCGCCATCGTTTTTTGACGACCGCGACTCGGATTTTGACGAGGAGGAGTTTTGTGGGATGTCTGCAGCGGGAGGCCTCGTCAAAATGCAGGGTCGGCCTCGTCATTTGTTTGACGGCCTCGTCGGGGATTTCCGAGTCCCCCGTACCCGGGTCTTACGTCTCCCCGATCCTGGGGGGCTTCCTGGGCCGTCTTGGCGCGATCTGGGGGGTCGTGAGCCGTCTCGGACGCCGTTGAACCCAAGAATGCGAAGATGCAGCAAGTGCATGTGTTCCAAAGGGATTGGGGCGACTTCTGCTTCTCGAGTTCTTGAGGTCTTCTTGGGAGTCGTCTTGGAGCGCTCCTGGGGCGTCTTTTGGGCCTCTGGGGCAGTCTTGGGGCCATCTTGATCGTCTCTGAGGACCCCTCGGCGCGCCGGAGCCCAGCTTGGAGCCAGTTCGGATGGCATATTGGGCATATTGGAGGCCACGGAATGTAGCTTTGGGGGCTCTGGAGGCCCCAGACGTTCGTTGAGGAGCTCCCGGTCCCCCCCCCCCCCCTCCTGGGCCCTCCCCCCAGCTCCCCCCCCTCTCTAATACGATGTTGGGCCCCTCGGGAGGGGTAAGTTCTCGCCTCGTGTTACGAATTCTCGTCTCTCTCTCTCTCTCTCTCTAGTGAATACGTTTTTCTTGTCTCCTTTTACGAATTCTCCGAAGAGTCGCCAATCGCGCGCTCTTCTGCCCACGCGTCCTTGCGGATGCTTGGCTTAGTGGTGGTGGGCGGGGGACATCGGGGAGAGCCCTCTCGCACGCCTTCTCTCCCCTGGCAAGCGGGGGTCGGCGGACCAAGCCTCCTCTTCGTCCGGCCCGAGAGGACGGGGAGGGGGGCAGTTCGAGGACTGAGGATCGAGGAGCACCCTGAAACAGTCAAGGCGGTGGTCTTGCTGTAGGTTCGTTAGTTCCTGGCGACGTTTTCGGGCTCCGGGGCCGTGAAGACAATGTTTGGGCCGAACAAAAATCCTGGGAAAGTAGTCGGGACTTCCCGAGGATCGAGGTTCGACAGTCGACGATTGAGGTTTACAATCAGGCCTAGCTCGTGCAGTTGCGGACGTAACCAGGAAACATCTGTCTTATGTGCGTCATGTTTGGAGGGAACACCTCGGCAAGCAGGCTATCTCATCTTTGGGGACGGGGGTCGAGGTGCCTTCAGGGATGCCCTGATGGCGGCCTGGCATCGCTTGCCTGCCAGCAACTCGGCGCGGAGGCGTTTGCGAGCAAGGGCAATATCACTGGCGACGACGCGTTCCTGCTGTTCACCAGCTACGGCTTCCCGGTGGACCTCACGGAGCTTATGGCCGCGGAGCTCAAGGCCTCGGCCCTCTGTCGGGGGGGATGCGCCGTGCGCCAGGCTGGACCGCCGCGGGTTCTGTGCCTACGCTTCTGCGTGTTGCTGACCGTCCTCCGCCCCTCTGCCGCTCCTCGTCGTCCTTCTCGCCCGCCTGCTGCTTCCCCTCGCCCTTCCCAGTGTTAGACGCTCGTCTGGGGGACCTGTTCTGGGGCCCACCTGACGGGTCTGTTCGACCCAAGCTCGACGTAAGTCGGCGCACGTCCGTCGCATCGTTGACGGATGCCGAAGGCCGAAGACTGAAGGCATGGAGGCCAGGTTGGATGCCAGGCTGCGCCGCACGGGCGGGCCCCCGCTCCGCGGCGCCGGAAGTTGCGACAAGCCCGCCCACGGGGCCCGCCCACGGCCCGGCGTGCCAACGAGGGCACCACGCTTCTACCAGCTGGCCCGTCCAGACCCGTAGCGGCCAGCTTCTCAAGCCGAGTCCAGCCGTGGCGACGTTGCCGCACCCAGCCGACGCATCGACCGATGGCAGTGAAGACAGCCACGCCCAGCCGCGCAGGCGATCTACCCTCGCGCCGTTGTTTCACCACGGCCTCGCACATCTCGCGAAGCATGCCTTGGAAGTCGACGCCGTAGTTGGCCGTTTGCACGCCACCCTGCAGTTGGAGGAGCACCGCATTCAGTCCCTTCAACTGGGCGGCAGGCAGCAGGCGCACTGCGGGCCCGAACTCCTGGACAGAGATCTCCGTCATGCCATAATTAGTCGTCTGCGTTGCCCTGAGGTCGCGTCGGCCCAAGGCCCCGTTCGGGGCCCACGGCGGCGGCGGCCGAGAGACCCCGGCTCGTCGAGGGGCCGCCATTTTCGGCGACGGCGGCGGCGGCGGCGGCTCTGCGCCGCGAGGAGGGCCTCGTTCACCTCGTCCTCGCCTGGACCCGCAGCAACGTTCCGCTCGCAGACCTCGGAGCCGCCGAGCGCGGGGTCCCCACAGCCGCCGAGCACGGCCTCGACGCCCTGGCAAGCCTCCATCTTGCGGCTCGTTGGCGGAGGCTCCTCGGCAGCCCCTTCATCATGAGGGTCCTGGGCCTCTATCGGGAAGGGTTCCTCCACGTTGGCCCTCATCTCTCCTAGATCTGGCCTGCATTCGAGCTTCACGATATCCGAGAGGCGCTATTCGCGCCTCTCGGATATCGTGAAACTGTTGTTCAGGGTCCTGCGATGACCTGGGTTATCGGGCTCACTCCCCCGCTCCCCCTCCGGGATAACTTCAGTTGTGCTGGTGAGGGCTTTTTGTCCCTCCTTTGCGTAACTCTCATGGCCCGGGCCAGCCTCCCCCCGGGTAATGCCATCGATCGTATTGGGCGGGGAGGCTTGGACCCCCCCCCCTACATCCTAGGAGGCGGACTGTGCTCACAGGCATGGCGTGGTGATGAAAGGCATGCTGTGGTGCTCATAAACGTATTATGGCGCTCGCAGGCTCCACCTGTTGCGACGCCGAGCTCACGGGCATGGCGTGGTGCCGAAGGGCATGTTCCGGTGCTCACATGCGTGTTGTGCGTGTTGTGGTGTTTGCAGGCTATTGCGGTGCGCATAGGTCAGGCGGACTCACTGCCAACGTGTCCCTTGCCCTCGCAGGGCACGCGATGCAACCTGTGCGGTGCTACCAATGTTGGCACCAATTCAAGCATTGCGCGGGGAGCACGAGCGCCTGAATGCAAGCGTAGTTTTGGTAACTCCACGGCGCTGGATCTTTCGACCGCATCGTGAGGCTCCTGCTGTTCCTCCTGTTGCTGCTCATCTTGCTTCTCCTGCTGCTCCCCCGCTCCGTATTCCCCTCCTCAACGAAGGCCGCCGGGACCGTTGAAAGAGGAGAGGCAGGGGACAGGGAGGAGGAGGTGCAGAAGGAGGAGGATGAGGAAGAGGAGGAGAAGGAGGAGGAGGAGGAGATGAATAACGAGTCCTGAAGGCCCAAGTGGTCTGTGGCGAACCCCGCAAGGAGGTCTCGCAAGCTACTAATGTGCTCGTTGGCACGTTGGGCGTTCTGGTGTACACATGCGTTGTGGTGCACGGAGGCATTGTGACGTGCGTAGGCGCGGCGGTACACATGGTTGCTGTGGTGCACACACGCGCTGTTGTGCACACGAGCGCTCTGATGCACACAAGCAACGAGGTCTACGCAGGCGCTGTTGCGCACACGGCTGCTGCAGTTTACACATGCATGGCGGTGTACATAGGCGACATGGTGTTGCGGTGCACGCGGCTGTTGTGGTGTACGGATGCACTGCGGTGTATACAGGCGGCGGTGTGTTGCACGCATGCATTCGGCATTGACGCAGGGACTGGTGCGCTGGTGGCGCGGACGCACCGTGTCGGGTGCACGCAGCGGCCACCGCTACCGATACCTTCCCGCCCGACCCCCCCCCCCGGGTAACGACCGCTACCCCGGAGGGAAAACAAAAACGCTCACTTGTCCAGTTGTTATGTCCGCAGCATTGGTCGCGCGGGCATATGCGGGGCTGCCCACAGTGCGAAGGCTAGGTAATCGGCCGCCCCCCCCCCGATAACCCGGGTTATTGCCGATCAAAAACACGGATCTGAAGGGCACGATCGCGAGCGATACCATTTCTCGATGCCGTCGGTAGTGTCGTACCCGTCAGAACACACTAGGGTCTGGGTCACGCAGTGAGGCCTCCATGACCTTCTCCACGGCTACGTTCCCAGACACCCTCTCTAAGCAGAGGCTCGACGGGCTTCCCCTCGGCCGCCAAGTCGTACGCCTCCGCCACGCCAAAATCAATATCCGGATGAAGTCGCTTATGGGCTTGTTCGAACGTGAACTCGTAGTCACACGCCGCGTCCTTCTCTGCCGTCGCCACTCCTCCCACCAGCTCCTCTTGGCCGACTTCGAGGTGTGAGACGTGCCCCACTCCTGCGTGCTCGCGCCATGCTTCTTACTCGAGCTGTGCACCTCCTGCTGCATCTTCTCGGCCTGCTCCACCACGGTGGGCGCCTTGCACTTCAGGCGGTCTCGCTTGGCTTTGCTGGGCCTCGGCGGCCCACCCTGGTGCCCAGGGCGCCTCACCGGTGCCCTCTGTTCCACTTTGTTGGTGCGGTCCCTTGCGTCGACGCCGCCGCCGAGGATCTTGAGGCGCCCTCTTCAGGCGATTTAGATGGGCCTCTCGATCGCATCACCACCTCGATTGGGCGAACTGCACCGTCCTCCTTCCCGACGAGTGTCATGGGGCACCCGGTCTGCTCCCTCAACTTAACTTCCGACGCGAGGTCCACGGGGGAGTCACTGGCGCCCGGGGCTGCTCCGGTGCCGCTCTGTTGGCCGCCCGCTGCGGCCCTGGCGGCGCCGCCTCCGACTCCACCTCCGAGTAGCCGGACTCGTTGGCGCTTTGCCATCTCAACACGGCGGCGCCGGGCTCTGCGCGGCCCTTCTTGGGCTCCTGTTGCGGCCCCGCTCCGTCACCGCCGCCTCCGTCATCTCGCTCCCAAACAAGCCACCTACTTGGCTCTGGCTGCGCACGGGCGCCGCGGCCTCCGGTGGCGGGGTCTTCGGTTGCGCCGCTCGCGGGGCCTCTCGCACAGGCTCGTCCGCTCGCCGTTGCCGCATCTCTTTCGCCAGCGCCTTGCGCGCCTCCTCCAGCACGGGAGCCAGCAGCTGGTGAAGTCCCGCCTTTCTGCTCTGCAGTGCGGCCTCGGTGACGGCATCGTGGAGCATCGGGGCCTGCAGTTGGCTTTCGCACTCCTCCGCCGTCGCATCTCCATGCTGAGGTCGCCCGCCCGCCCGCGCGGCATGCTGCCATGTGACTCGTGAGCGTGTGCCGCTGCGAAGTGCGCGCCCACACGCTGGGGCTGCCCTCGCGCGCGCCTCATGGGAGGCCCTCGTCGCCACTGCCGGAGTCGCTTCGAAGTTCTGGTCAGAACGCACCCTGGGAGAGGTCCGCGGAGTAGCCGTGTCGGTATTGTGGGTTTCATTGGGGTCGCATGCATTCTCCTGACTCGAGAATAGTCGGCGAGGTACGGGGAGGAATTTGGAAGAAGGGGAAGGATGAGGAGGAGGAGGAGGAGGCTCCTGTGAAATTCCCTGGAGTCACCCAGAAAGCCTCTCTTCCACCTTGGCAAGATTTCGCAATCGTATGGGAAGAAGTAATTTCCCTGAAGGTGAATTTGTCGAAGGGGCCAGTCGGGTGTTTTGAAGCGTCAGTGTGCCAAAGCTTGGTCCCCCTGCTGCCTGCCCTGCCTCTGGTCACTTGCTCCGCGCCGAGATTCGGGAGCAAGGGTACAAGTGCATTGCGTTCGAGTGCAGTGCTGATCCTGCTCCCTTTAGTTGCCCTCAGCGCCTTCTCAGAATTCCGCACCTGCTCGGGCAGTTCATGGCTTGCAGGCCATGGCCATCGGCTCACGTCTCCCGCGGGCTCGCCACACTTTCAGGGGGACCACGGGGAGGGACAAACACCCCGACTCTCATAGCTGGCATCCGCTGAACAGTCATTCCCTCTCGATCCCTTTGTATGCAAATTTACCAGAGGGCTTCGCTCGTAGAGGGAAATTATTCTGCCCTCTGGGGAAGGGGTCGAGGAAATGCAGACATGGAGTAAGGCGCGTGGCTTAGCGACGGGTTCCACTTTCGTAGAGATTCGGCGCGCCCCTGTCGCCAAATCAGGCGGCAGCGGCGCCGTGTTTCGGGTGGTACGGTCTCCAGTCCGTGGCCACGGATCCCTACCCCTGGGAGGTTCAATTCAGTTTTTTGCGCTGGTACATCCGTGGTCGAAAATTGGCCAAATCCGGCACACGCCCTTTTAATCTGGCTGATTCCGGCTCGATTCCAGGCTGAACCCAGTCTACTTGAGTTTGATGCTTTCCATTTTGGCCCAGTAGCCCATATCCCTTGATCGTTTTGATGAAGACC